ATCCTAGTCGACCGACGACCGTCCGTTTCGTACTTAATATAGAGTCTTATTGTAGAATACTAATTACTAGAAACTACTTAAAGAATTGGATAACAAAATGCAGTATAATGAAATATAATAAACCTAATACTAATTATTTATGACATATGTAATCAATAGTAATAATGGTTCGGAAAGTTTAACGAAGAAACACTAGTAAATAAATTTGTATTAGTTTTTAATAAATCATGTGAATCAGGTAACATAAATAAAACTGGTAACAGGAAAAACAAACGTATGTTTACCAGGTTATAGTTATAAGGAATCAGTTAACTTAACAACAGCATTTAGTGAAGTATGGTAATAAGGTATTACAAATCTCTTTACAAGAACAATAAAGTGAATTTATTAGGTAGTATTAGCAAATCATTCATCATAATATTAGCATTAAGCTAATCATATAAATCAGGTAACATCTGCAAATATTCTTTAATTTAGCATTAGTATTTAGAGACTCATGATATTCAGGTAATGGAAGAATAGTTGTACTAGAATAACAGAACGTGTTAACCAAGTAAGGGTATAGAATAATTTTTTAACTTAATACTAATTTTTAAAAAATCGTGTCTATCTTGTAAATGAAAGGAAAGTGATAAATGGAACAATTAATTTTGTTAAATTAAGCAACGGAACTGCAGAAGAATAACGAAGCATATTAACCACATAATATTAGCAAAGAATCTTTAAATTTAGCACTAGTATTTAGTAATTCATGCTCACCAGGTAGCAAAGAGGAGCTGTTAAAATTTAAATTACTCAATACGCCAGCCAAATAACAGTTACAAGCAATATTTTACATTAGCTCTAACAGTTGGTGAAGCATGTTAATAATGTGTAGTAATTTGTCTTTTAACCCATCAGAATAATTTATTACAGATTGTTAATCATGTTCTAGAACTTAATCTGGCAAGAAATCATTTAGAGGTTTAGTCAGTTAGTAGAGTAGATTTACTGTTGTTTTTAGCACAAAGCTACAGAGTGGGCTACCAGTGCTCTTTCCACTACGGGGAATCGAGTCCCAGGTTTAAGTGGTGCAAGTCAGAAAGCTGGCTCACTGGGGGGCCAAATGATACATTATGTGGTTGCTTGATTTGTTCATGGCAAATATACGAAAGCTATCCGCCGGCGTTCCTAATTTTGAGCTGCTGACCAGAAGGAAGACCAACTCTTGGGTGACATATTAACCAATGAATAGTGAGAGTGATCTTCACAATAGAACGTCCCTATGGCTGAAAAGGACGAGTATGTTCAGACCCTGGTTCCAAGTAATAGAAGGGAAGCTGGTAACTAGATCAATACAAAGTATTAATCAAGCAACTGAGGTAAAACGTGTTGCAAAAATTACACAACATGTTGATTTATGTAACATTAGCAAAAAATGGTTGAAATCTAACACCAGTTTTTGACGCTTCATGCTAATCTAGTAGCAGAAATGAATTTAGTAAGTAGGGCAAGAAACATGTCAAGCAAGTAATGGAATAAAATCTATAGAAGAATAGCGAAGCCTGTTAAAAATTTAACAATAACAAATATTTTTAATTAGAATTAGGTTTGTTAAATCAAGTTAATCAGGCAACAAAGGTGAGGATGGTAACAAGTAAAACGAAGCATGTTATCTATGTAAAACAGTAAAGATTATTTTAACATGGAATTAGTATTTCCTAATCAGGTTAGAGAAGATAATCTAACACCAAAACAAGCGAGGTTTATAGGCACAATTAAAGTACACTGATAACTTTACCTTCCAAAGGAAGGAAAGAATATAATGACAATTATTGAAATATTTCAGGAAGGAAACAATGTTTTCCAGAATGTTAATTTTTTGTCCCTTCATCTCTGTTGATATAAATATAAATGGATTTATTTTGCATAATACAAAGATTTTTTAACATTATTTCTAATTTAATTAGCATTTTTATATAATTTTTACATTGTTTAAGTTATAACTATTATTAATT